AAGTAAATAGAGCACATGGTGCACCAGATACGAGGTGCAGTTTAATTTCATACAAAGTCTTGTATAAGCTAGCCAAGCAATTGAATGAATAGCTTTGGAATGTAATAGAACAGATTCTCATTTGAGAAATAAATTAAAGATACAACTAAGCAGAATCAAAACGACTGACAATTATATGCGTTAAATATTATTGAACTCATCACGAACTGAAAAATAAGAAAATAAAATCACTCACAGGCGAGACCAGAGCTGTATTAAAAGCCCTAACTCTTTTCAACACGATAAATTGCGTCATCATTACATATTCATTTATATATATTCACTTTATAAATAGGCTTAATGCCTGTTTTACTTCGGTTTTTAGCCTCAATTGACGTTGTCTGACCATCTTTTCCTCGGTCGTCCCAATGATCTTCTTGCATTTGGCGATTTGTCTCTTGCTATTCGTACTATTCTATTTTCTGTCATTCTTTCGATGTGTTGATTCCATTCCACTTTTTTTCTTTTGGTCCACGCGTTTATTTCCTCTATACCACATCTCGCTCGTATTTCCTCACTTCTTACTCTGTCTCTTAGAGTTTGCTTTGTTATTTTTCGTAAGACTTTCATTTCTGTTGTTTCCAGCAGTCTTTATTTTCGCCGTATCTGCTCTTGTTTACGCTGTGTACGTCATTATCGGTCTTATTGTTGATTTATATATCCTGGTTTTTGTTTCCGTTGTGAGGTATTTGTTTCTCCAGATTGTGTTGTTGAGACATCCTGCTGCTCTGTTTGCCATGTTGACTTGTTTTTGTACTTCTTTTACTTTTCCATAGCTTGACAGTTTTATTCCCAAGTATTCAGTTTACATCACTTGTTCTATTATTTTGTTATTTACGACTAGTTTAAATCGTCTCGGTTCCGCTGATATGACTATCGCTTTAGTTTTCTCTGTTGAGATCACCATGTTGTATATGAGCGCCGTTTCTTCGAATTTTTTAATTAATCTTTGTGGGTCATCTTCATTTTCGGCTGTTATTATGGCGTCGTCGGCATAGCATATTATCCTTATTTCCTTTTCTCCCATTCTATATCCTCTTCTGTTTTTAACTTTCTTTATGATTTCATCCATTATCACATTAAATATTAATCAGCGAGTCTCTCTCTTTAATGCCAGTTTCATATTTGATAGGTTGCGATAGTTTTCCTTTACATCTTATCATAGCTATGTTTTCTTTATATATGTTACGAGCAAAGCCCGAATTTGGACAATCCTAGAATTGTATGGAAATTATTGTCTACTTCTAGCATTGTACCCCCAAGCTATACAATGTCCGAAATGATCAAAATTAAAAATGATTATCGAAACGCTCATCGATTCGAATCGATGACAATTGACAAATGACAAATGTCAATGATCATTGACAAGCGACACACCAAATCAAAAATCGAACATTTATTGTTAATTATTTGTTATTTTTGTATTTATTATTTATATATAAATTTGTTCGTTTTCGAATCGACAATCTGATAAAAGACTGTGTCAAACATAAATAATTAGAAGAAACATTTCAGATTTTCAAGAGATGTTTATAATAATTTAATGCTACAATCCAGAAGTCAGAGGCTCTAATTAATTATGGATTTATAACCTCATTGATGTTTGATTGTATTTAATACCAAATGGGGAATAATCGTCACAATCGATATGAATCGATATCTCTCATCTTCTCCCAAACTTTGTGGCATGCATACCGATTGAAATTCGAACACTGTACAGTAATTCTTTTATGCAAAGTCTGAAGATTATGTCTATTTTGGAGATTGTACCGGGTGGTCCAATAAGCCGATCTCTCGGCTATATATCAGAAACTATTCATGTTATAACTTTAGAAAAAAAAATTCCTTAGTAAAAGTGGCCACGAGAAATCGCTGGAAATAACTTTCAAGATTCTGGATTAACCGCTAGGGGGCGTAACCTGCGAAGAAAATTTTGAAAACCAGTTTTTTGGGAAATATGTCCAATTATACCAAGCGTTAAATAAGTAAACTAGAAAGGGGTATAAATTCTGCACAAAGTTGTTCAAGTACTTTTTTTTTTATTTTTCAAATAAAGGGTGGGGGAGAGTGGGAAAGTATTTGTGGATAAATACCTATAACTTTGGTTTGATCCAACCGATTTTAATGAAATTAATGTCATTAGAAAGAGTGTGGATGAGTTAATTCATATCTACTATAAAATACTTGCATTCAGTTTTCATAGTCGTAGGTAGAGGGGACTTTCAAATAAAAAAAATTAAAATATGTTTTTCTACAAATTTTTTAATGGAAACACCTATTTATTGTAAATTATAATGGAACTGGAATAAATTTGTAACAAAATGGAGCAAACCGCATGTTAATAGCTTTTGTTGAACTCGAGATATGAATAAAAACTCATAAACATAAGTAAGTATAGTATTGACACACCCTGTATTATAAATTACATTCAAAAATAAGTCAGTAGGTATTTTCAAATTGTTTTATAGCAGAAGAATCTTAATGTTGATACCTATTTTGTAAAAAATAGTTTTTTTGAAACTAAGTAGAACTACGATAATGAATTTGACGGGGAGTTCATATTGTTTATTTATTGACAGCAGTCAAAACGTTGTTAAGAAGTGCTATATTATAATTCGAATTAAAGATTGCACTTTTTTCAATAGATATTAATATTGGTAATATTAGTAATTAATTATCAGTACAAATAATTCGTGATGAGTATATCAAATTGTATGATATGATTGGAGTTTATTTCGAATGTCACCAAAATGCCGCTATTGCCTCACGTATATATTTTTGTAAGATATCGTGTCAGGAGACATTATGGCAAAGAAGTGTTTGAAAGAAAGGCAAAAAGATTAAGAGAAACTGGTAGTTTTTCTCGTCCTTGTTTTAAACGACGTAGTAGAGTTATGACCGAAGATAATTCAATCAATGTTCTTGCTTTAATTCAACAGAATCCACATATGAGTAGTCCGACATCTCTACTTCTTTGCCACAATATCTCCTGCCAGGATATCTTACAGAATATATACGTGAGGCAATAGCGCCATTTTGGCGATATTCGAAATAAACTCCAATCATATACAATTTGATACACTCATCACGAATTATTAGTACTGATAATTAATTACTAATATTACCAATATTAATATCCATTGAAAAAAATGCAATTTTCAATTCGAATTATAATACATATAACACTTCTTAACAATATTTTGACTGCTGTCAATAAATAAACAATATGAACTCCCTGTCAAATTCATTGTGGTAGCCTACTTAGTTTCGAAAAAACAATTTTTAATCATATGAAATAACAATGGTCAAAATAGGTATCAACATTAAGAGTTTTCTACTATAAAAATTTTTGAAAGTACCTACTGACTTATTTTCTAATTTATTTTATAATACAGGGTGTGTCAATACTATACTTACTTATGTTTATGCGTTTTTGTTCATATTTCGAGTTCCATAAAAGCTATTAACATGCGGTGTGCTCCATTTTGTTACGAATTTAATCCAGTTCCATTATAATTTACAATAAATAGGTGTTTCCATTAAAAATTTTGAAAAAAAACAAATTTTAATTTTTTCTATTCGAAAGTACCCTCTACCTACGACAATTAAAACTAAATGCAATCATTTTATAGTAGATGTAAATTAATTCATCCATACTCTTTCTAATGACACTAATTTTGTTTAAAATCGGTTGATCCAAACCAAAGTTATAGGTATTTATCCACAAATACTTTCCCACTCTCCCCCACCCTTTATTTTAAAAAATAAAAAAAAAGTACTTGAACAATTTTGTGCATAATTTATGCCCCTTTCTAGTTTACTTATTTAACCCTTGGTATAATTGGACATATTTCCCAAAAAAACTGGTTTTAAAAATTTTCTTCGCAGGTTACGCCCCTAGCGGTTAATCCAGAATCTTGAAAGTTATTTCCAGCGATTTCTCTTGGTCACTTTTACTAAGAAATTTTTTCTCCTAAAGTTATAACATGAATAGTTTCTGATATATAGCCGAGAGATCGGCTTATTGGACCACCCGTACAGTAAAGGGGTACAAGCTAGAACTGAACAAAATTTTCCGTACAATGCTAGGATTGTCCAATTTCGGACATTGCTCGTAACATATGTTCTCAATTTTTGTTTTTGATATAATTAATTCCAGAATAAATCTTTTACTCTCATTTTATATTAGCCGTATAAGATCGATTATCTCCTCGGCTGTTGACAAGGAGGGCTCTATCGTCTGCTAAGTGGAGATTGTTTATTTTTCGATCATATATAAAGATGCCTTTTTCCCATCGTTTAAGCGCTCTTCTTATTTACGTATAATATTATATAGTTGACCGAGATAGTGTACATTGTTGCCTGGCACCATGTTTTGGGTCTAATTCACTTGAAAGTGTGCCAAGCCTACATACATACTAAGTAAAAAATAGGTAGCTACTTTTCTAAAGCGGACACTTCTATTTGTATAAGCCCGTCCCAGTTATGTCTAAAGTTCTTATCTATTATGTGTCACTAATTTTTACCTTGTTTCTGCAGATTTTTTGTTTCCTAACCAATGAAAGGTCCTTTTCGTGGTATTTTTACTTTTCGCCAGTTTACTATTTTCTTATTCCATCTACCATACCCATCGACATTGGTTGGATTCAGCCCATATTTACTTTAGTTTGTTTTTTTCTTCGGCAGCATTTTTTACTGTTGTTCTGTTCAAAATATTTTCATTAATTTTGTGATCTTTAGGTGAAATATCCAGAATGTGTATTTTCGCACAATTTTTAAAATAATATTTTTAAAAAAGCACTTCCTTTTTTAAACTACTCGACAAAAATTGACTTTTCTAGTTTTTTTTAGACAATTTACAGATTTATCCATTACTATAGTTGTTTATTTGAGGTTGTTTTTTTTTTCAAAAAGAAATTTATTTATTTTTTAATTTAATAATGTGATCCTTGTCTTTTTAGATACCACAAGACCTAAGAGAGAATATGAAGTCGACGGTAGAGACTACCACTTTGTCGCCTCCAGGGAACAAATGGAAAGAGATATTCAAAATCATCTATTCATTGAAGCGGGACAGTACAATGACAATTTGTATGGAACTTCTGTAGCATCTGTACGTGAAGTCGCTGACAAGGTATGACTTTATTCCTTATTGGTTAATTTATTATAACTCCAAAAGTTTACCAAACAATTAATCTTACGTTACACACGGTAAAAATCCCGTTGGCTGACTCCCATCAATATAAATCAGGCAAGGATGTATATTGTCGCCTTTAGTATATAAAACTTACTCTGAGTAATTCGTATTGAAAGCTGTTGAAAGGCGGGAAGAAACTGGCACCAGATAGATCAAGACAGGTGATTATAGAAAACACATTTGGAGTGGGCCAGGACCTATCTCCAGGAGTGAATCAAAAGAGGCTATTAAAGAAGAAGAAAGAAAACCACAAACAACAAAAACAAAAGTGAATGGGTTTTCCTACTTAGAGATATTAGTTATTGTATGAAAGAGAGATATACCTTTAGGAATAATCAAAACGATCGAACATATTTACCAAAACAACACAATATAAGTAAAAGTGGAGGAAGACCTAACCGACCCTATTGAGGCTGTGAAACCTCAATACTCCGGGAGTATTGGATTTTAGGAAGTGTAGAACTTCCAACTTTCAGAAGAACTGAAAGAGAAGTGATGAAAAAAAAAACTAAAAATAGGGCTAAGCTCAGAGGAACAAATTTAAATGGCCAAAGAGACACTAAATCTCAAGTGAGTGTTCGGGCTAGCTTCAATGCACTGGATTGTGGCTTTAAAGATATAAACAACAATAACAAGAGATAATGAGCTAATGAGACAAGAAAGAAATGAGGCCTGGTAATATCAAACGTGATACAACTGAAGAAAGTCACTGGGAATAAATTTATAGAAAGAGAACAATAAGAAGAGAAAAGAAGGGCGCCAACTCAACGATAGTTGAGATTTTGAAGTAACAAATGAATCTGGAGATAATACTCTGAAATACAAAAATACTAAATAATAATCTTGTTTTGCTATGTTATATACTGGTTAGTAGAACTGAAATAAAACTCAAAATAGCAACAATAAATATATTTATAAAAAATGTATATAGGTATATGTGTTTAAATGCAAATATGGTTGTATAAATTAATCAAGACATTTTGTCCTCCCCCTGTATACCTTCGATCCCTATTCGTACCGTTCGGGTATGCTATGCATCCCGTAGGACACAAGCGCTTAAGTCGTTGAGCAGAATAGACGCAAGACACAACCCTCGCGAGTGCGTCGATGCATCGAAATCGGTTGGTTTTATAGTAGTGAATTATGGTACCTAATTAGCGGTTCGGTAAGTTCACCTAGTTTAATACCTTTGTTTGTTTTTTGATTGTTTTTGCAACCATTTAAATTTTATATTATTTGTTATTTGCACCTATGAGTGAAAGTTCATTTATCTTGCCAGAGCTATCGAAGGAATAGCTGGTATTATCTTAGTACTATTAATTCGTAATAGTACATTATTTTGTTAAACCCCCACATTGGCCTATCTCGCCGAATTTGAACTCATTTGTTGAAAAAAAATATTTTGTTATATTATAAATTTGAATGGTTGGTTTCGTCTTATGTCGTATTTTTTTATCGTTTTGAGGGTTGATTAAGTTGCGTCTCTTGTCGAAAGCTATTAACTTCGAGACCCGAGAATAATTTATGACCTTTTAAAGTGCACCATATGGGATTTTTTAAAAGGAGATTATAGTCGTTTTAATAAAGTATCGAATTTCAAATCATTAATTTCGAGCATTTCGGGGTTTTAGACAACATTTTTGTACATTTTTCGTTTGTATATTATTGGAATTTATTAGACATTGGCAATGGACAAGTTAGAAGAGAAAAACAGAAAGCTCAAATTTATGAGAAAGACTGTTTTAAACGATATGCAAATAATATTCGATTTGGGTTTTAAATCGCTCTCGGATATTTCGATCCGACCTTTATTTAAAATCAGGGTGGAAGAATTAGATTTAATACGCGATGAATTCTTGAAACACCACACAAATATAATTAGTAATATTCTTGCTGTACCAGACGCGGATACGAGGGTCGAAGAAAATGTTCGGGAATTATTTTTGGAACAATTTTATAAAATAAAATTATTTAGTGCGGAGTTATTTGAGCCACAATGTGAAACTCCAGAACCGTTTAGGTCGGTAGTAGTTCCAAAATCTAACATTCGCTTGCCTAAAATAGAACTGCCTAAATTTAACGGTGATTTTAAGGAGTTTAGTTCGTTTTTAGATTTATATAATTCGGTTGTACATAATAACGCAGGACTAGCAGAAGTAGAAAAGTTTAAGTATTTGAAAGGATGTTTAGAAGGGACTCCACTTAGTTTGATTCGTAATTTGCCAATAAATAGCGATAATTATCAAATTGCTTACGATTTAATTGTTAAACGCTACACAAATGTTCGTCGGTGTGCGACCGCGCATTGGGATGCGATCATGGGCGTGCCGAAAATATCGTTAGTTAATTCGAAAAATCTGGCTAAATTAGTAGACACGTTTTTAGAAAATTTAGCCGCATTGAAAACATTAGGCCTTCCGACAGAACATTGGGACTTTATTATGTTTAATTTACTTTTGTCGAAACTAGACGCGGATTCAGTAAAATTATTTGAATTAGAAAATAAATCGAATAAAATCCCGTCATTTCAAAAATTAGTTGAGTTTATTGAAACTCAGTACATTGCTTACGATAATTTGAATAGTAGCGTAAGCGAATCTAAGAAGTCGTCGCGGGCCCCAACTTATACGGAGCCTAAGGGTAATTATAAACATTCGAATGAGTCTAGGCATAATCGTAGTTCATCCTTTGTTACAAATTCGTCATTAGTAAGCTGTGCTTTATGTAAGCAAAGTCATTTTCTAAACCAGTGCTCGTTGTTTTTGAAGAAATCTCCAAAAGAGAGATACCAATTTTGTAAAGAATCTTCCTCGTGTTTTAGATGTCTTAATCAGGCTAATCATTCTGTCAAGTCGTGTCCAAAGTCCTTTAAATGTAGTAAATGTAATAGTCACCTTCATAATAGTTTGCTGCACTTCGATAGAAATCGTTCCAATAGTCAGTCGTCCACAGAAAATACTAATAATCCAGGGGCATCGGGAGTCGAACAGAATTCGCCTGAAATATCACATTGTGCTGCTAGTTTTGTAGGGAGGAAAAACGAAACAAAAAAGGAAATCTTGCTCGGTACCGTTTGGGTTCATGCAATTGATAGTAAGGGGTGTAAACAGCCCTTGAGATGTCTTTTAGATTCGGGTTCAATGAGTTCGTTCATTAGTCGAAAAGCTGCCAGTAGATTAGGTTGGCCTAAAACTCCTTGTTCGTTTGAAGTTAACGGACTCAATTCGATGCAAACGAAGCTGAATCAAGGTCAAATAAGTTTTTCTATCCAACCTCGTCATCAGGAGTCACCGGTGTTTCACTTGGAAGCTGTTATTACAGATCGGGTTTGCTCGGATTTGCCGAGCACCAAAATTGACATATCGACGTGGAATTATATCAAAAATTTAAAGTTAGCCGATCCCGAATTTAACTGTAGTCAATCTATTGATTTGTTAATTGGTTGTAGCATATTTTCGAAGGTGTTGTTAGAAGGTAAAATTGAAGGTAAAGCGGGACAACCTGATGCCCTAAATACCGTTTTTGGATATATTTTGTTAGGACCTACTAGCACACCTAATCTTTCGTCGACTTCGCTTGTTTGTCTTTCAAATATTGAAGACCCATTAGATTCTTCATTATCGAAATTTTGGAACTGGAAAACATACCGGAAAAGCCAGTTTCAGAACCAGAAGACGCTCTGTGCGAAAACATTTATCGGGAAACACATAATCGGGACGTCTCAGGTAAATATGTCGTGTCTTTGCCTTTTCGTGAATCGCCGCCTTGTTTGCAAGATAGCTATGATATTGCTTTAAATAGACTGCTATCATTAGAACGTCGTTTATCTCGTCAACCAAGTTTGAAAAAAGAATATTCTTTTCATATGCAGGAGTATCTTGATTTAGGTCATATGCAGTTAGTCCCTAATGCCGAAAAGAAAAGGGGAAAGTATTACATTCCACATCATTGCGTTGTGAAACCAGATAGTGTTTCAAATAAAATTCGAGTTGTGTATAATGCGTCTCAGAAAAGTCCCAGTCTTGGCAAATCTTTGAACGAATATTTACTGGTCGGTCCTAAGCTACAACAGAACATAGTCTCGCTTTTGTTAAATTTTAGACTTAATCGTTTTGCGTTGTGTGCGGACATTCGTCAGATGTATCGCAATATTTTAATCGCTCCTGAACACACGGATTATCAACGCGTGTTATGGAGATTTTCTAGCCTTGAGGAAATTCAGGAATATCGTTTATTAACTGTTACTTTTGGAATAGTATCTTCGCCGTATCTTGCTTTAAGAACCCTTCAACAATTAGCATTAGACGAAGGCTCTCGTTTTCCTAAAGCCGTCTCGCTTATTCGTCATGCTTCGTATATTGATGATTTTGTTTTTGGTGCTTCGACTCTCGAAGAAGCACAAACTTTAATTGACGAATTAGTTACTTTGTTAAAGTTAGGAGGCTTTGAGTTACGGAAATGGTGTTCGAATGAACCCAAATTGTTGTCGCAATTTCCTGAATCCCATATTAATCCTCATGCCATTAATTTTGATCCAGAAGCAAATGGTCCTTCATTAAAAATCCTTGGTTTGAAGTGGATTGCACAGTCCGACGTCTTTCAATTTTCAGTCAAATTGCAAGACGTCCCTTGTACCAAAAGATCGTTTTTGTCCGAACTAGCTCGAATTTATGATCCTTGTGGTTACCTAACACCTATTACGTTTTTCATTAAACATTTAATCCAACAACTTTGGGCAACCGGTCTTAAATGGGATGATCGCCCTCCTTCGGAAATAATTCGTGTATGGGAACAATATAAGAGCGAATTATCTCTTATTTCACAATTCAAAATTCCTCGTTTTTTGAATATTTCTTCATGTCCCATCTTAGAGCTTCATGGATTTGCCGATGCTAGTGAAAAGGGATATGCTTGTGTCGTTTACATTCGTAGTATTG